GATGTCACGGTTGTAGATTTTAAACTGAGCGTATATATGGATGGAGATTCAGGCATACGCGTAGTCGCATAGAGATGTGTTTGTGGCGTATGAAAGAGATAAAGGAACAGTGAATAGTGTGAACCTCTGTGCTATTGTGGATTGAACGCGTGCGTGATGGTGAAACTGAGCAACCTGGTGTAACTGCACCTTTTGTGATGTCGAGTTCCCTTGCCCCACTATAGGCTGTTAGCAGGTTCGGTGAGGTCATCTTGAAAAATCTTGAGGGAAGTGCTGTCACGCTTCGGAACCTGCCTACCTTGTGGAGATCTGAAGTCTTGGGACGTGTACGCGAGCGTACAACAAACGGTGATTTGCTTGCAATGATTTGTTTCAATCGGTTGGTTGGATCTACTGGTCATGAGTTCAGCCAAGTAGGGTTGCTCTTGGAATAGGGCAACGTTTGTTGGCGGATCTTCCGCCACGGGTTTAGTGCTTTGTTGTGTCCTTTTCTCTTTTTGATCCGCCCGCACTCTCCTTTATGAAGGGGTCTTCATTCGTTGCGACCTTTTTGGTTAAATTTTGGGGTGGTAGGTTTCTTCTTTGAGCCACCCTTGCACGGCTGGTTTGCTGCGCTGGTCCCGGTCTCCTTTCTTCCCGTACCAGGGTTGTGAGTTAACAAGTGGTGCATCTGGCATGCATGGGTTTTGTTTCTGGTGATGTGATTTCTCTTTCCAATTTATTTTGGTTCATCACCTTTCATTGCTAAGCGCATCCCGACTACTATTACTACTATTTGTTGTTTTAAGGTAGTGTTGACATGGTAGACTGATTCGAAAAATTTCGGGGACAGCAAATAGTATTTGTTACAAAAAGGATAATTTAGCTTTTTCTATATTTCTTGCAGATGGTGGAGTTATAGTTAGGTTTCACTGCGTGCCATATCATATGTGTGTAGGATGGACGTGCGCAGCGCTAATACGCAAAACTTGATTGCTGGCTGGACGTTTTTTCTGGTAGACAACAAAAGACTAATGTGCTAAATGCGCTAAATAGTTTTCATATGCTGCTGTATTCTGACTGACTAAGACGAAAAACAATAGACGAGAGACCGAGAGACTAAACGAAACGCTTCACCATGCATGTCGATGTGAACTGTTGGCTATAGTTTTTCCTTTTTTCCCCATGGGTGCGCGGAAGTGTCGTGGGTTTCAATGGGTTTCAATGTCACAAAAGTCATCCGTTCAAAAGGCAATAAAGGACAGATGTTTCATTGTTGACTGCAATGTTCTATGTTTACGGTTGCTCCGCTTTTCACCCCTTGGCCCTTTGCCATGGCGCGCAGAGAGCGGCGCGCCAAGCGGATGGCAGATTGGTATGGACTTGCCGTGGAAGGCCTATACCCGGGTTTGACGGCGAATCGAGTCCTTCCGGGCATGTCCAAAAAGTAGTTGTGAGCCATATGGGAGATGATCGAAAACCCAGCGTAAGGAGTTTAATATAAAACAGCCTTTTAGATGTTGTTAAAACCCTCCGCGAAAGCTTCGCGATGAGGTTCGCGAAAGTACATGTTTTTCGCGAAAGATTTATCGAAGGTTCTGGTTTTAATATTGGTTCTCCTTTTATGGCCCACTGGATAAAAAGCTTCTACGTAGAACTTTACTTGGTTTCAGTTTGTTTTGGGATGTCAATGTGTAGTGTAGCGTATGTTTGTGGGATTCCTGTATTATGTGTCATAGATCACAGATGTGTATAGTTGTCAGAGGCATTTGTGCTTGAAGCAATCTAGCCACAGAGATGGCGCCAAATACAGCCAAAGTGCAATCACCTGGCTGAGCCAGTTTGAGCCAATGGGGAAATCATTAATGATTTTTCGCGAAAGATCCGCGAAAGTTTCACGAATGTGCCGATAAAGTTCTGCCTACCAAACTTGACCCCACCCCCATACCCCAACGACCTGGAATAGGGATGTGGGGCTGCTGGTCTGTCAGCTTTGGATGACGGCTGTATCAAAGTGGTGCAGGATTTCTTCTTCCGCCCACCGTATCTCTATATATAAATATACATGACTCTCTGACTCACCCAAAACATGTTAAGTAACCAACCTCTCTTGAGGAACATGCTTCGCGATGAGGTCGCGAAAGATCCGCGAAAGATATCTGCTTTTTCGCGATGAATGGCCATTCCAGGATGAAAGAATATTGATCAAACATCATATGTTGTAGACAAGAAGGTACAGCGGAACATTATATGGCATATTCATACCCAAAGATGCGCCACCGGCATGACAGGTGAGCGCGGCGCTGCGGCAAAGAAGCAGTGTGTTGCGCGAGCCGAAGAGGCCCGGCTCTCATGCTGAGCGTTCAGCTGTGCGCAAGGGTACGGATTGAAATAGGACAGAACAAACTACACAGTGCACATTCTGAGAACAGTTAGCGCAGCAACGACGCCACGACATGTGTCATGAGGGAACTTTACGAAATCTTCATGGCTGCAGGTCGCTGAGAAGCTTCCTCCAGGCGGATTACGCCGAAGCGCTCCGCGCCGTTTTTTTCGAATCATGTTTGATTGTCGTGATGCGAGACACTTCGGCTATTAGTGAATGAGTGACACAAACGCATTAGCCGTTGACAAGTTGACACATTGACAAGTGATCTACCAATCACAGATCATCGCCAGGTCGGTTTGCCTATAGGCTGCATTAGGTTTTCCTTGATCCGATTGAATGCGGAAAGCTTGGCACAGGAGCTGCGAAAGGTCTGCAAAATGCAGCACCTTCAGGTGAGGAGTGGGGAGACGGTCGATGACAGGGCCACTACCCATATCAAGAGGTGTTTTCCTCACATAAACACTAAAATCAATTTACTGCTTAGTTCCTTACTTTTCACATACCATGGCATGGCTTCTTCAGTTGTCTCCTGGAAACGAATGGGAAAGTTTCTCGGATCGACTGTCTTTTCGTGGCTCAGGCCCGGAAGGCATTGATCCAATAACCATGGAGCGGCTTCTGTGGGGATCTGAAGTGAAACATAGAGACTGACAGTGAAGCACTTCAAGAAACATACCCTGTGAACTTTAATCCAATTTGATTCTCAGAGATTAGATTTTGGTCGAGGGCAGTCGGTGAGTTGTAATACAGCGTCCATCCAGATGGTCCCCCCTTAATTTCTATGATAGACTTCCATGCAGATGGTCGCCCCTTGAACCAAAAGCAATGTTTCGGTGGATTGTGAACGTCCGCTTTCGATCTTCCCGGTCGGATGGATATGTGGTCGTCACTGAGGAGCCAGGTGCAAAAAGGTGGTCCTTCGGTACAAAACGAAGCGCTCGTCGCAGTGACAGGCCACTGGAACGGCGTAGAGTTATGAAGACACAGATGTAATGATATTTGAGATGTATAGAAGGTATCAGACTTTTCTTTTTTCACATGTTCTCCAGAGAGCTGGTTGAAAGGTTTTGATCAGAATCCTTTTGATGAAGGACTTCTTTTGACAGACTTGGAAGTGCATTGTTTGTTTTGTGTTTTTAACCATCGGATGTTTGCGATGTCCCAGGCCTTCCGCCACAGCATGCGGCAAAGCTCTTGGAGTTTGCCCTTGAGAAGTCCAAGGACACCCGCTTCGTCGAATCGGGGATCTGGCGAGGTGGAGGTGAAGAGTCGAAGCAGAACAGTAAGCTTAGATAAAGGATCTTAGCCAAGTATCATTGTCCTGCGAAGGTCTGCGGAGTGTGAAGAAGAGTAAACACAACAAAAGCAAACAAACTCTTCAAAAGCCATGCAAACTGTCAAAGCATCAACAATATACGTGCTATTCATGCTTATTCTTTTTTGTAAGTCATGGTATGTGGTTGCCCCATCCAGGAGCTACGGGACCCGTCGATGTATATGGTGTCCACGGTGGCAAGGCCAGTGCGTCGTTGGGGAGACAATGCTTTCGTGACCCGTCGGATTGTATTCCGGGTGCAGAAAGGTGAGTCGGGCGACGAAATCCATACTCCGGTGGTGTAGGACGCCGCTCCAAAGAGAAACTAGAACTATGGCGCCGAGCGAACATAGAAACATATGATTTGTTGAGCTTACGAAAGCTGATGCTTCAACAAAAACGTACATAGGTTTGTGCTCTGGCTTGTGTTTTGCGCTTGTTAGTTTCACAATCCATGTGGAGCAGAGTCTGATTCTAGCCACCAAAAAGAACATGTATTGCTTTGCAAGAGTGGCTCTTTCTTTACAGTTTACCTGCGTAGACCATTTACATCCGCACCACCTGGCAGGGGCTTCAAGCCCAGATGGCACGCCAGGGTCTCAGATTTGGCAGAATTGCGGGCAAGTTACGGAGTTGCAGGAACTTTTGTTTAACGCTCAAATCAACATATTTCTGGCGGCCCGACATGGACAAACAATTCAATCAATGCGCCCTGGGCGTTTCAGAGTTGCACGCTGAGGAAATGGTGGAGGCCTCTGTCCCTTCCAAAGGATGGTTCGACGCGTTGCAAAGACGCAAGGATGATTGGCATGCGAAAATGACGGAGACATTCTTTTAACTCTTTCAACCGTATGATCACGTGGCTTTTGGGAGCCTCATTTGTTTTGGCACGAAGCCACTCATGAATTGAATTCACCAAACACTATGTTCATATCTGCGCGGGAATCAATCCGGTTGATGGTTATCGAAAAGATTTTTCAATCGGTACCTTTGTGAGGAAAAGGCGTACAACTTGAGCTGGCGCAAGATCGAAAGCCGCAGCCTGGCTTGAACGCAAAAGCGGCCGTACTCTTTTGAAAAGCGTAACAAGCTTTTGAACGTCATGCCAACCGTTCTAGGCTTCGGGAACCATCAGCCATCAGCGCTTGTATCCAAGGCACAAAGCCAGGAGTGTTCTACTGGGAGAATTTTCACACAGGCCAGAGATCAGTGGACGACGCTTTGGCTGATTCATTAGTTGCAACGCATGCTTCCCAATATACATGTGCAATAATTGAACAATGAAAAACAATGAGAAACCGATCTAAGGACCCGCGACGTCCGGTTTCTCCTTCCCCTGTGCGTGGTGGCATGGGCAAATGAGACCTGTGCGCGCTAGTGAGAAATGTGCCGGTGCTTTTCATCCGCAACGAAATGTTACCAAAAGGTCCCTGCCACATATATATATATATATATATACCCTGTTTGCAAACCCTTTCCTTCCGCGCTCCCCGGCCACCCGTCGTCTAGTTTGAGTAGCTTGAGTTTTTCCAGGCAGTTTTCTGTCGAGGTTTTTTCTTGGGTCAGAAGACATTGGTCACAGTCTCCGCGCCTTTGAAATTTGTGTCCGGGGTTGTCCTCCTTTTGTCATCTCCTTGTCCTCCACTTGTTCTGCTGGCCGTGCTCGCAAACCTTGTGACCTCTTCTTGTTCTGCTGTCTTCCTGCTGTCCTGTGCCCCTCCTCTTGTCCTCCTGCCTCCTGCTGTCCTCTGCCTGTGTCCTCCTCTTGTCTTTTGTTGTCCTATGGCCGTGCCTGTATCCTTCTTGTTTTGTCCTGGTGTCTTCCTGCTGTTGTCCTCCTGGCGCTCGCGAATCCTGTGTCCTCCATTGGACTCCTAGCTGTCCTCTGGCCGCGCTGGCGATATGTGTGTCCTTGTTTTGTTCTCTTGGCATCCTTCTAGTGTTGTCTGGCAAACAGTTTAGTCCCTCGTCCGGTCCTTGTCCGGGCCTCGTCCAGGCCTTGTCTGGGTCTCGCCGCAGGCCCTGTTGGACGTAGGTCTGTGTGTCCTGCTTAGCCGCGCCATGGGGCGGGTGCCGTGCCCTTTTTTTGCGCTTTGTGCAGGCCTTGTCCGGGTCTGTCCCCACCACCTTGAGACCCCTACAAAACCTTTGGGTCAACAAGTGTCCTGAACCACGCGACACCAAGCGTAATTGACATCACCCATCTTGCAACTCACTATCGACACGCTGCATTTACACACACACACACATTATTCCTCTTCACAATGGCACGAAGCCACGCAAGGGCACTTTCCACTGAGGCGTCGCCAAGGCGCAATCTCGCTGCAGCGTGTGTCACATGCTCCATGTAACAAAGCAACACCACACGCTCCCAGAAGCGACCCGCCAAAATGCATTTGTACTACAAAGTTGCCAGAGCTTCTTCCTGGACTACGCTCGCGCTACTACTTTGCCTGTTCTGAGCTTTTAGCTTAAGAAGCTACTCCCCATACATTACATTTGTGTTGCAAAGTTGCCAATTCCGAGCTCGGAGCTTTTAGAAGCTACTACATGCTACTACTACAAAGTTGCTAGTTCTCTGCCCGGACTCACTACAAAGTTGCCAGTAGTTCTGAGCATTTCGTTTGAGGCTTCCTCAACATTTGCTACTTGACAGGTTTGTACGAGGCTTTCAATTTTGACACTTCGTGTGTCAAACGCAATCACCCACACTTGCATCCCGCCTAAGAGGAGGCCTTGTCTTTCAATCGAAGAACATGGTTAATAGAGTTACCTTTATTCAGTCAAACAAATACGTGGTAGGTCCAAGCAGCTGATGCAGTTTTCTTTCGTGACTCCAACGTCCGTCTCTTCTCAGGTCCTACTGCTGGCTGCTGCTTGTGGTTTCTGGGTACTGAACTTAGTCTGAACTAACCGCAGAACAATCTGAAGGGTGAGATCAGCGCTGGTTCTAAAACAGGAGTTTGCGTGTATGCAATAATGGCAGAGGCGGTGCTGTCTCAATGCAAGCGGCAAAGGTCTGGCTTCATGACACAAATGCTTCAGAGAGGCTGGAGTACATTTTCTCAAAGACTCAACAACCATTAAAGATTCCGAAGGTCCTTCCATCCGACGTGATTTTTGGCGGTCAGGGAGAAGGCTACTGCAAAGCCAGCCAATGGCCTAATTTCTGGAGAGCACAGTCCACAAGTTTGAGTTCAATGTGTTCAAGTTATATAGCTGAATGGATTGGATGTGATCAAAGATGTCATCAACTGGGGACCCGCACGGGGGAACTCACAGAATCTGTACACCGGCCAGACAAAAGTTGCGCTTCTTGAAATTCCAACTCATTACAACCCTTTCCCTCTAGAATCCTACACTGGGAGACGGTGTGGATGGTCATTTTTCACAGCTTAAAGCGGTGTGATACTTGACCGCCGCACACCTGCTACCAAATTGGACTTATCAATTCGATCCGCAGCTGCCAACACTGGTTTATGAACACAATTAGCAAGCGCGTAAACCCCCTATGGAGAAGGACCCTTTACATCTATCATGATTTATCCTTTCGGGTTCAAACATCACCTTCCAGTACCTTTCAATGCAACATACCCTTGTGACGTAGTATGGAACACACAAACATTCCCATGTTAGGAATCAATTACTTTTAACGATTCCTCACTTCAATTGGAAGAGACACGAGACAAATCGAAATTGTATTTTCTTTTCCGTTGTCCGATGTCTTCAGAAGTTGTGAACTTCCTCACAATGCATTCTAACTTTGTGGGGGGATGTGGGTATTTCAGGTGGACAGTGCTAGGCGGCAACCTTGACCATGCCCTATATAGTATAACTGTCAGTCAAACCTCGGCAATGAAACAGCTCCCGTTTGGTCTGGTGAAAGAAGACACTGCTTGCAATCACCCTCTTTCTGTGCAAAGGGATGCACCCTGAACAAGACCTTGCAGTGCCGGATAAAGGAAGAATGGCTTGGAACGAAGACCTTGCAGTTTTGGTGAGCAGACCCTTCAGGGTCTATGCGGTACTCGCTCAGGTGTTTAGCGCTGAAAATGCAGCCGAATTGAAGGCTTGACTTGAGGGAGTGAACGCAATGAAAGCAAAATGAAAGCAACACTCACAGGCGTTGAAGGCCCTCCAAGAAGACATGCTGGCTGACCGGAGCTTGGATTTTTCATAGTCTCAAGCTAGTCTCAAGATACAACATCCATGCACTCAGTTACCAGAGTGATGTTGCCTGGTTGTCGCTGATAAAAGTCTGAGGCTCTTGGTGAGATGAAGGTTCAGCAGATGAAGCGGGATCAAGAAGACATTGCACAGCAGCCATTCAGCTGAGTACATCGCCATTTGTTTTTTTATTGCTACTTGTAGGGGTCACAACATGTCATGACAAATGAATTTTTATGGATGTTTCCAGAATAAATCTACTGTAAGGTGTGCCGAAGAAAGGGAGAAGCAGATCGCGCTGTTGTACAAGGAGTTGACCCCACATGCAGGCAGCTGTTTGAACTCTTTGAGCAATGCCTTCCTGTCCACCTTCAAGGTTTGGGGCAGTGAAGGGCTTCAGTGTCATAGGTTGGAGGCCATCGCTATTAATTAGGTTGGAGGCCATTTCTATTAGGTTACAAGACCTGTCGGTGCTTCCAGGAGTTGGAAGGATCTTCTGGCGTCCTTGTACACAGATTCCCGGTGGGGGTTTGTTTAGCTTGAGAACGATTTGATCCCAGCAGCCTCGGTTGGATATCACCAGAGAACTTTGGACAGCTTTACTGTATTGACGTTTTGGAGTACTGTAGCTAGCCTGTGCTCGATTGCTTTCTGACGCAGCTGATACTGTCCAAATGAAACAGGTTCCCCAAATTTCGTCAGCCTGAAAGATGTGACCAGCTCCAATTAAGCAAACGTAAGGTGAAACGAGATAAACCAACAGCACGATTAAAGTCAATGGAATTCCAGATAAAGCTGCATGTTTACCTCAGAAGAAACAACCTCACTGCAACAGACACTGAACACATTAGTGCTGATGTGCTTGCCAAAGAGCTTCGCCAAAAGGCCACTCGCAGAAAGACGTCGTGTTTCTTTCTTTCCTTTCCTTTCCTTTCCTTTCCTTTCCTTGCTTGCTTTCTTTCTTTCTTTCTTTTTCTTTGATCGGCCTGTGTGGTCGGGCAACCGGTCCTTCGGGCTGTTACGGCAGTCCTGTCTTGCAGGCAACATGGCAGCCTCGAACGCGAGGTGCACATGCTGCAGCATGTTTGCAAGCCAGTATCGAACCACAAGCCGTCAAAGCCGATTCACAAGCGTTTCAACCAATATATTAACGTCCTTTTCTTTTGCCAGGCTGAAGTATCGAATTGTGCGATGCACATCAGAGGACTTTGTATTCCAATCATTGATGTGACTGTGAACTCAAGTTCTCAGTATTTTCCTTCAGGAGCCTGACTTCCCCGCCTCGGCCTCAGCAAACTCCTTTGAAGGGAGTAGATTCAAAAATGATCGGAGGGATCTACAGAAGACTCCTAATGAAAGAATGTTTGGCTTGCAAAGTTAAAGAGTCCTTAGCTTTAGGAACAAGAAGCTACTAGGAACAAGTGCATCGCTTCTAGTAGCAAGTGCCTTACTGGTAGTAACAAGAAGCTATTAGAAACAAGAAGCTTTTGTAACAAGAGTCCTTAGCTTTACAACCTAAAAGGATCTGAAAGATGACCGGGCTGATTGGACCCCTCCTCCCAGTCGTTCCAAGGAAACACTGGGAGACACTTTTGGGTTCTGCATTCGTCGTCCGGTTTTTCTTTTCGGCCGGGCCGGGCCACAGGTCTCGGAGCTGCTGGCCCATTCGCAACAGACGTAGCTTGATTGAAGAACCAATTCGGAGCAAGCTCGGGGTGTCGCATTGCTTTCCTACGCTTTTGGCATAACTCGTTGTTTTGGTGCACAAATTCTCAGGAAGGGATGGCAGACCGCACGATATTGCGACTTTCCACAAGAGGCTGATGTGCTGTTGTTGGCTGCAAGCAGCTTAAGCTTTTCATACTGGTCCCTCTTCTTGGCAATGAATGGCCGTGAAATGAGAATGAACTAGCAGTGGAAGCAACAATGTGTGACTAAAGTAGTTTCCATGTCGCGTCACTGGATCAAGTCAGCATCACCTGTCCCAATTTAATCATATTTTGCTCCTTAAAGACGATGGCAGATGAAGTGAGGGTGGGCATTCTGAGCACAGCCTCCATCGTTGACAAAGTGCTTCCTGGGCTTAAGCATGGAATGAAAGTGGTGGGAGTTGCAAGCCGGGATCGGGAGAAAGCCCAGGAATTTTGCAAGGAGCGTGACTGTGGTGAAGGCATGCTCTATGAAGAGATGATCGAGAGGGATGATGTAGACGTGCTCTACATTCCTTTGCCCACGCGACTTCGAAATGAGAAGATTTTAGCAGCCATCGCTAAGGGCAAGCACATATACTCAGAGAAACCAATGGGTGGCACGGTGAAGGAACTCGAATCACTCATCCAGGCTTGTCGGAGCAAAGGCTTGCAGTGGATGGATGGTACTATGTGGTATCATTCTATCAGGACGGGTGCTTGGAACTAGACTTGCTGGAACTTGAGCGTTCTCAGTTCCCAGGGTAGCTTTCATGAATTTGAATAAAGAATCCTAGAGATGTATGGGCCTCATCCAAAACAACACGAATGAGCAAGATTCACCAAGGACCAAAGAAATCGAGGAGAAGCTGAGGCGGAAAGAGCTTGGTGAAGTCCAACGAGTCTCGGCCTCTTTCACCTTCAAGGCACCAGATGAGGCCTGGCTTCAAGGAGGAAATGGTCGCACTGACAAGTCCAGAGAACCCATGGGCTGTTTGGGTGACCAGGGTTGGTATCCATTGTCTGCTATCTTGTGGGCATTTGGTTGGATTCGACCTGAGAAGGTTATGTGTACGCATGTGACTTTCAACAAGGTTGACACCATAGTGGCGTGTTCAGGGACTTTGTGGTTCCCCGGAAATCGCTCTGCAGTCTTTGACTGTGGTTGCACAGCGCCGCATCGCAGCCAGTACGAGATTATTTGCGAGACTGGGACCATCAGGTGCGACGACCTCGTCGGTGGACAGAAGAGAAGTGGCAACTTTGCTGCCTACGAGACGCCCTTTGTGGGAAGCTCCGAGTACGTACAAGGCGACGTAATGGGTAAGGATCAATTAGTCACCGTGGAGCCCTGTGATCATGTCAATGCGCTTGTGGATGATTTGGCTACATGCATCAGAAAGATCAAGTCTGGTGGCGAGCCTAGTGATGATTGGCCCACCAGGTCACTTCTAGTACACACTGTCATGTCAGCAGTCTTTGAGTCAGCAAACACCAATGGAGCACCTGTAGAGCTTGGTGCTGGTGGCTATGCGTAGTCGGGCAAGAGGCTCTGAAGGCATCTTGCTTGCTTTTGAGAGCCTGTCTTAGCTCTTGGTTTGGTTGATCAGAATGTACAGCTTTTGCACCCTTTTGCCATTCACAGTTGCATCAAGCCGCAGCGGCGAAACAGCAGATGAGTGCAAAGCGCTTGAGTTGGGCATGAAGATGAGCATGTCTCGCAGCTAGTTTTCAAGAGGTTTATCACTAAGAGACGGCTAGCAGCTAGCTAGTGTTTGGTAGAGAATCACACCAACTGGTGCTGCAAGCCAGGGCAAGCCAAGACCCGTTCTGCTGCATCGCAACAGGTGTGCCTGCAGTTTGAGAGCCCTGTTCACTTACGCCAGGCCTGCAAACTTTGTTCTGCCACTTTATCGTTCTCTTTATTGTGCTATTAAGTTGGAGGCCGCTATTAGGTTCAAGGCCGTTGCATGATATATTTTGTGCCTGCCTGCCTTTATCGTTCTCTTACTTCTTTAACTTTATGTCTTTGCCTCCATGACTCGAACAAGCCTTTCCAAGCCACTATTTTTTCAACATGTTCACCCGTTTCTTCGTGCTTTTCAGCATTTGCATTGTGAAAGAGGTGCAATTTTTGTCCCATCAGAGCAAAATTGCAACCAAGTCCTGCTCTCAATCTTTGGTACCTTTGCAACTGCTGCTTCATTTTGATGTTTATTTGAAGCACATTATGCGACACAGGCATGCACAGGCAAAGATCTCAAGAAGAGCGATCAACCTTCCAAATCAGTATGCGCTTGGGGGTGAACCTGGCTTGGCTGGTTCTCAGGATCGAGCTCTTCACGGGGCTGACTCCAGCTTCAGGGCCATGCCAACTGGAGGTGATTGCTTGATGCACATGTGTTCACATTGACATCATTCATGGATATGGAAGAATTCCCTCTATGGTCCTTTGGACTCACTGCTTGGTTGCAAGATTTCCTTCTCGTTTGCTTTATTCCCCGGATTTGCGCCTCTTGAAGCATCTAGCAAAGCGTGGCTTGCCAGGCTGTGCAGTTCAAGCGCCTGGGCTACCTTTCACTTGACAACAATGAGCGGTCCCAGTTTCAGGCATTGGAGACTGCACATAGGGGTCCTGGGAGGACCGTGCTGAGCCAGAGCTCTGTTTGCTTTGTGGTTTTGAAGGATGGAGTTGACAGTTTTTTTGGGAATGCAACATGCACATGCAGTCTCAGGCTCTAAGAAGAGTTTTTTTGCCTCTTCCCCAATGTAGGCCCGCGAGCTGAAAAGCGTTTATGTGGATGTGGTGGCGCAGTTCCTTCGCATCGTCTTTCACAAGCAGCTTGCCGCTGTTTGTCGTTGGTATGAAATCAACTATGTTGAGAAATATGTCCTGTGATTATATAGGAGCAAGGACGCTACTAGGGGCTCCTGACATCGCTACTAGGAGCAAGGACGCTACTAGGGGCTCTTGGCATCGCTACTAGGAGCAAGGACTCTACTAGGTTGACATGTTTGATGTCTGATATGTCATATCAGCGCGCTTCACCTGACTAAACAACTTTCATGCGTGAGCTAAGGTGCCATGTGAATCGCTACAATGCACTCAACCAGGTGGGGCTCATCGCCTTGAGCTGCTTGGGAGAGGCAGGCAGCGCCAACAGCTTCAGCTTCAGCAACCTGAACACATGTGCTACATTTGTAGGTTTAATCGTCAACAATACACTACCACATATAGTATGTATATATATATTATACAATATCTATGCATACAATGTAATGTAAATTCACACGGATAATCTCAGGATCTTGCTAGCAATACATTTGTAGTTTCAACCTGATGGAGTCTATGCAGGTCTTGAGTCCTTCCGAGCTGGCAAACAAGGCAGGAAAGCGAGTTGTTCATGAGAAGCTGTACAATACGCCCAAACTTGGGGATAGATATGGCTCTGCGTGTTCCATGATCCTAGATGCGGATTATGTGCGCATGAAACGATGCCTAATCTACAAGAAAGTTTACCCTGCGTTTTGAAGTGCAAGGCATACTATCACTCTGTGATTTGACTGACAGACTAGAGCTTGAACTAGCTTGAGGAATCACATGCGGTGATGACATGTCATGACAATTTCGATGTGATTTCACGCGCCACATGCCAGCTTGCTGAAGCGGCTGGAACGGCTCCTATCACCAAGCCTGAAGTACCAGCGCCTGTAGAGCCAGCTGTGCCACCTGCAGCACCTGCAGCACCTGCAGCATCTGCAGCAGCGCCTGCGGTGCCCGTTTCAGTGCCCGCGGCCCTCATGGCCTCCCCTTCGCCATCAAAGGCCTGGAGC